CCACATTTTTTCACGGATTTATCTGAAAATTGGTATTTGTAGGTCATGACGGGTCCCTGAGCGTGTGGCAAAACATTGCATGTATAGGTCCACGTTTTGGTATAGCCCCCACATAACGGTACCTACCGATATTCGGTATTTTTATGATTTATGCCACATTTTTTCACAGATTTGTCTGAAAATTGGTATTTGTAGGTCACAACGGGTCCCTGAGCGTGTGGCAAAACATTGCATGTATAGGTCCACGTTCTGGTATAGTCCCCATATAACGGTACCTCCCGATATTCGGTATTTTGATGATTTATGCCACATTTTTTCACTGATTTGTGTAAAAGTTGGTATTTGTGGGTCATAATGGGTCCTAGTTCGTGTGGCGAAACATTGTAATTATAGGTGCACGTGTTGGTGTAGCCCCTATATAACGGTACCTCCCGATATTCGGCATTTTAATGTTTTTTGCCACATTTCTTCTAATGTTCTTTTACCCTAGGGTGGAGGGTATTAAAAGTTTGGCCCGGCCGAACTTAATGTTTTTTTACTTGTTTAATTAAATGACGAGATCGCAAGCTCAATAGAAGAGGAACTAAAGAATTAAGTAAAACTAAAATTCTTTTGAAAAATTGTCTAAATCTTACAACCGCACTTATAAACATTTACATCTTTCTCCACTTGTTATGCTTTCGTTGTACCAGAACGAAGCAGCATAACCACTTAAGTTGGTTTTGTCTGTTGTAACAAAAAACATATTCGTCGACTGTGCCTTGTCTATTAATAGAACAGTGTTGGCTTCTTTGGCATAACAAGTGGAGAAAGATGTAAATGTTTATAAGCGCGGTTGTAAGATTTAGAAGAAATAAGTAGGTGCCCAAATGTAGTTTCGGCACATAGAATCCAATTTTTAAACACCATATAGAGGTAAGGGTGTTATGTCTTTGTGCATTTGTTTGTGACGTGGAGAAGGAAGCGAGATAGACCCATAGTTACTTTTGAGGAGCTTCATAGAATCACTTTCTGTCCATGTATTTTTGTAAACAAAATGCAGATCGCATTTATTATCCGATTGAGATGAAATTTTGCAAATAATACTTGATGAGAATCGGTTTAGATATATCTCCAATATATGTGTTCAATTGATTTCGTGTTAATTGTGCACCAAATGGCCGAATTCAGTCAAGAAGCAAGCACATCATATTTGGTGAAAATCGGTCCAGATATAGCCATAACTCCCCATAGACTGTACCGCCAGATTTAAGACATTTTGGCGGTTATTTTCATATGTTTGAACCAAATTATATTGGCATACATCAACGGAATTTTGCTACATTTTGCAATTTTCTTGACCGAACTTTAGTGATAATACCCTACAACATTATGTGTTGGGGGTATTATAAGTTTAATTGGGCCAAAAATTATGTAACACCTCGAAATATTGATTTCCCACATAGGAAAGTATATATGGATCTTCCTATCTCGCCGAGATGAGTCGATCTAGCTATGTATGTCCGTCCCTCCATCTGTTCGTCTGTTCATATTAATTTGTGATCAAGCTACAGGCCGCAATTATGAACCGATCCTCACGAAATTGAAAATGGAGTTGGGGTTATAGTCAGAATAGAACTCATTGTTTTTGGAGATGATCGCACGATATTTAGGGGTTGAAATGGACCAAAAACAGAAAAATTTCCTGATTTTGCACTTGCTCTGTAGGCCATAATTATGAACCAATCGACGTGAAAATTTGCATGGAGTTGGAGTTTAAGAGTTTGGTGGTCATCGGACAATAATTAGCAAGTAAAATAGACCCTATCTTTTATGTAATAAAATTGGAAAATTTTCACTAAACCGCGAATATTTTCAATCCCAGCCAAATCACAAATACATTAAAAGATCACATCTGACCATTCAAGTGATGCTGATAGCCAAGAAATCGGACATATAGCAAATTATGTACAAGATATATGTAAAAGAAATAATATTTTTCTGCTCATAAATCAAGAACCGATTTTCACAATTCCCATCAATTCGGAGTGGTCTTTTGCCTGAAAACGATATAATCTAATAAAATCGCCGAAAAATATACCAATAAACCAGTAAGGAAAGCTCAAAAGTCGGGCGGGGCCAACTATATGATACCCTACACCACTATGCATATTTAGTAGAGCTCTCGTAAAAAGGTTTATACAGGGCATTTCAGAGCTCTATGAGATATTTGGTACAAAATCAAAATCTATCTAATTTTATCGTGCATTTTACGAACTATAGCTATCTCTGAAACGACTTTTACTAAAATTGGTGTCCTTGCTTCTAGGCTGAATTTGGCCAGATATGCCAAAATTCATGCCATTTCGGTTGATATTGGCCATTTGTTGCACAATTAACACGAAATCGGATGAAGATACATATGGGTGCTATATCCAAATCTGAATAGATTTTGATAAAATTAAAATCGACTACTTTTGGGCTTTATCTGATATCTGGTACCAAATATCATTCCTGTGAAGAGCATGCTATGCTATGCTATATCCAAATCTGAACAGATTTTGATAAAATTAAAATCGAATATTTTTGGGCTTTATCTGATATCTGGTACCAAATATCATTCCTGTGAAGAGTATATTACGAATGTAAGGGACTTAAAGACCAAATCGGATGAAAGATATATATGGGAGCTATAGCTATATCTGAACCGATTTTTACTAAAATTGGTGTACTTGCTTATAGGCTGGTTTCGGTTGAATTTGCCAAAATTCATGCCATTTGGGCTGATATTGGCCTTTTGATGCACAATTAACACGAAATCGGATGAAGATATATATGGGAGGCATATCCAAATCGGAACAGATTTTAATAAAATTAAAATCAAATATTTATGGGCTTTATCTGATATCTGGTACCAAATATCATCCCTGTGGAGTGCATATTACGAATGTGAGGGATGTGAGGGAAATCGGATGAAAGATATATGTGGGAGCTATATCTATATCTGAACCGATTTTTACTAAAATTGGTGTACTTGCTTCTAAGCTGGTTTCGGTCGGATTTGCCAAAATTGATGCTATTACGGCCATTTGGTGGTCAATCACCCGAAATCGGATGAAGATATATATGGGAGCTATATCCAAATCTGAACCGATTTCGATAAAATTTAAAACACCTATTCCTGTGCTCCATCTAATATGGTACCAAATATCACGGTTGTGGAGTGAATATTACGAATGTAAGGGACTAAAACACTAAATCGGATGAAACATATATATGTTGCTATATCTATATCTGAACCGATTTTCACTAAATTTGATATACTTGCTTCTAGGCTGAATTTGGTCCGAGGTACTAAAATTCAGTCCATTTGGACTTATATCGGCCATTTGGTGCACAATTAACCCGAAATCGGATGAAGATATATATGGGAGCTATATCCAAATCTGAACCGATTTCGATAAAATTTCAAACAGCTATTTCTGGGCTGTATCTTATATCTGGTACCAAATATCATTCTTGTGGAGTGCATATTACGAATGTGAGAGGCTTAAACACCAAATCGGATAAAACATATATATGGGAGCTAAAGCGGTTTCTGAACCGATTTTCTCCAAATTTGTTGTATTTGCTTTAAGGCTAATCTCGGTCAAATGTGCCAAAATTCGGGCCATTTGGGCTGATATTGGCCATTTGGTGGTCAATTAACCCGAAATCGGATGAAGATATATATGGGAGCTATAGCTATATCTGAACCGATTTTCTCCAAATTTGATATAATTGCTTCTGGGCCGAACTCGGTTGGGTGTGCCAAAATTCAGGTAATTTGGACCGATTGTGGACATTTGGTGCTCATTTAACCCGAAATCGGATGAAGATATATATGGGAGCTATATCTAAATTTGATCCGATTCTCACCAATTTCAATAGGGTTCGTCCTTGTTCACAAGAATACATGGACAGACGGACGGACGGACGGACTGACGTGCATAAATCGACTCAGAAAGTGATTCTATGAAGGTTCTCAAAAGTAACTATGGGTCTATCTCGTTTCCTTCTCCATGTTACAAACAAATGCACAAAGACATAATACCCTTACCACTATGTGGTGTAGGGTATAAAAAGTGAATATCTTTGGTCGAATTGTTTTTCATTTTTTATCGCATGCGATTTGAGGGTATTATATGCATGTCGCAATTATCGTCCGGTTCTCCCGAAATTTTGTGTGGGGGTAGGGTTAGGGCCAGAATTAAAGCCTATTGTTCTTAAGATGTATATTTAGAGGTGCAAATGGACTAAAAAGAAAATATTTTTTTTCTAATTTTGTAGTCGCTCTATAGGTAACAATTGAAAACTAATCGACGCGAAATTTCGCATCAAAAGAGAGTTAAGGACAGGGAAGAAGTCAAGCATTTTGGATGACCATTGCAATATATTTAGCTGTAAAATGGACCACAACTTTCGTGTGGAATCATGACCCAAAATTGCATACAAAGAAACACAGAGTTTTTTTTTATCAGTTTTTGAATTAATTTATTGCACCATAAACCACATGGCAGTGGAATTAAGTGTTCGTTTCATGTTTCATTTAATTAGCTTATTCAGTTTTTTTTTTTTAATTAATTATATTTTTATATTTGTTTTAAATTCAAATATAACCTTTGAATTCTTAAAAGTCTTAAAGATTTCTATACAATATCATTACAAATAATTTATTATGTTTTTGGTTTTTTTTTGTTTTGGTTTTTTTGCTAAACGCTACTAACATTTCTAACCTGCTTGGCTCTTACTAAGCTGGTCTAAATAAATATATATATATAGAGAGTCGTTTCAACGGATGAGCATTCAGAAATGAATTGAAAAAACCGGAAAATTAAAAAAAAAATTGTAAAAAATATGAGTCATAACTTTTTTTGTAATCGTATATTTTTTTCTGTTGTTGCTGTATTTCATTGCTGAAATAGTAGTCATTTTTTTTGTTAATATTTGTCTTTTTCTCTTTTCTTTTTTTACTACTTTCATTAAACTTCAAAAGATCACAATTATACTGTACATAGTGTTCGTTTCGTTTACGAAAAAGTGATTACAGTCGAACATGGGTAAAACGGAGGGGTAGGGCAAAAAGTTGGATTAATCTGACACAACTTAGTTTGCAACATGTCTCAAAGACGTCCTTTTTAACATGTGCCGTAAAATTAGGATTCAGGACAATATTTCAACGGAGTACCTGTTATTGTAATGAGGAATGAATAATAGATACGGACGAAGCCAATAATTGAAAGAAATATATCTTGGAGCGATGAGGGTGATATTTTCGCAATAAACCTGCACTGACAGCCTAACGGTATTTTGGGTTTTTAGACATATTTTAACCCGAATTTGTTGTAAATTGGCAGCATGTGTTTCCATTATGTACCTTCAGATTTTCGCATTTTAATATCTTTTCAACGGAAATGTTTCAAATTTGAAATTAAAAATTCCTAATAAGTGCTATATCCCATGCCAGAAAAGTGCTTACAAAGGTCCACGTTTTCGTATAGGCCCCATATAACGGTACCTCCCAATATTCGGTGTTTTGATGATTTTAGGGACAAAATTCACCGGAATTGTTTCAAATTTCGTACTTGTATATCGTAATTGCATATGCACCTCTTCGTATAGGCTAACCCCCTATATTCCATATTTTTATAATCTAAACAGCCTTTTTTAAAAGATCTTTTTTAACTCGCAAATTATTTCCAAATGCTGGAGGGTATTCAAAGTTCGGCCAGTCCGAACTTACTTATTTGCTTCTTAATCTTCCCTGTGAAAATATTCCAAAGGAGTTGACTTGTATTGCCCATTTTGGAATATGAACAAACAAAGTTTGGGCCAATTCGGATACTCCTTTTGAGAGTTATTCTCTGCGCCATACAGGAGAACCGATGGACCTACGACAGCCTTACTCACAATATATGTATTAATAGTGATGATAGACTCTCTTGGCCTACCAAATAAATGGCAAATGTAATTTGAGAGAGAATACGTGTGATTTGTTTACACTTTTTCGTTCGAGGCTGCTCATAGCTGACGCACGAGGACATTTGGCTGCAAACAAAAAGTCCAGAATGAAACTTTGTACAGAGAGATTTTGGAACGAAAGCCGTTATTTCGATGAAAGTCGTTTTTAAAGATATAGGGTAATGTGTACCATGTGTAGTCCAGTAGCCCATTCGAGAATTATTCTGCGCGTCAGACAGGAAAGCCGATGGACCCAAGATAGCCTTGCTCACAATATATGTATTAGTAGTGGTGAGAGAGTTATACTTGGGAAGCAATTATTAACTTCCTGAAGGAAATTCGTTCAGAGAAATTTGTGGACGAAAGACGTTATTTCGACAAGAGTTATAATTGAAGATATAAAGTGTACCATATGAAGTCCTTAGGCGGAGGTTCTAAACATCTATTGTTCATGATATCCCTCCTGAAACTGACGGTTATGCATGTCCTGAGTTGCAACTAAATTTTTTCAAATGCCAAGTTTTTTTAAGGATATCCTACTTTTAACTTCGAAATTCTTAATATTAGGGTAGTCTGTAGCCTTATGAGTCCTGCCCTTCTTTCCCCCCAATTTTCCATTTTAGCCATATTCGACTGTAAGTTTTTTATGAGTTTCGTTTTTTTCTTTCTTTATTACTGCATTTAGGAGGCTTCAGTAGGAGGTGGTGATGGTGGTGATGTTGATAGTGGAATATTTGCATTATTTTGAGAGAGTTTTATTTTATTTTTTGTTCTCTTTTTTATGGCTAATGATTAATTCCTTGCATCGATCCTAGGACCATTAACTTAGCTATAATTTCGTTTTTTTTTCTTTCTTTTTCATGGATAATAAATACATTTCAATCTTTTGCTTTTCTCGTTTTTTTTGCATTATTTTATGGGTTAGAGGAGGGGGTGGAGGAGGAGAAGAAGGAGTAGGAGTAGGTGGTGGCTTGATTAATACATAACTTACACATTGGCCGAAGGACCAAAACTACTAAAATATTTATTCGTATTATGATTATTTAATAAATTATCGCTAGCGGTGGTGCTGGTGGTTATTGTTGTTGGTTTTGCTGTGGTATTATTGGTGGTGGTAATGGCGGCATCTAAATTTGAGCTACTACAGCTGAGATTTTGGCTACAGCTATTTGGGGGATTTGCGGAGGAATTTGTTGTGTTGTTGGTGGTGGAATTGTTGGAGGGGCTATTATAACTGGTTGAGGGTTGTAATAGTTTATCACCTGCTGCATGGGCATACGATGGTGGAGGCTGCTGGTGCTGTTGTTGTTGCTGCTGCTGTCGAAATGCCTGATAGGCATCCGAGGACACGGCCGACCAGGTACCATCTTTTGATTTGATGTATAAATGCTGTTTATTGGGTTGCTTACTGCCAAAATGATGATAATCACTGGCCGCAATCGAAGAGCTAGAAGCCCAATCATTGAGCAGCTGATTGGTCGAGTTACTTATCAGTGAAAAATCATTGTCATTGAATGTGTCCGCATGGCTGTTGGTCAGAAAATCCAAATGGGAACCGGTTTGGCTGCCATGTTGCTGCTGTTGTTGTTGCTGTTGACCAGACTTATTATTGGCCAGTGAGCCATTATTCTTGTAGAGGCTACCGAAATTAATGTTATTCTCGCTTTTGAACATTTTCGGATTACGTGGCCGGCGTAGAGTGCCAGCACCCCCGCCATTGATCATTTGTGTGGCCAGTGTTGTGTTGGCATAGGCACCGAGGCCTTGCTTCAAAGCATTGCTGGCCACCAGTAATTGTTGTTGTTGCAATTGTTGCTGCTGCTGCTGTTGTTGTTGCCGTTGACTTTGTGATTGCATGCTGTTCGTATTAAAAGGATTTAAACGTGTCGGTTGCAATGGCTCATTGTTCATCAAATCAAAACGGTTCTCGGTAATGTTGATTTTATTGCCCGTTGCCGCATTCGACGAGGACGCGGATGATGTCGATGAAGAGGTTGCTGTGGATTTTTTCTGCTGTGATGATGTCGATACTGATTTTGATGGGGAGGCCGACAAAATGGCCGTGGATGCTGTACTGGCTGTCATTTTATCGGGCAATGTCGATAACAGATTGTTGCCAAAGGCATTGTTATCCATACCCATTATACTGCCGTTGCCACCACCACCGCCTCCCATTGAGTAATGATTGCTAGGTGGTGCTGAATAGAGGCTGGATGTAATACTGCCCATGGTGGAGCGATAATCATCGTTGTTGTTGGAGCGCATTGTTGATGAGGACAATAATTTTTGTTCATTTCCGCCGCGTAGTCCATCCAAAATATCACCTGGCCCACCCCCTGGCTGGCTGGCTTTGAGGGAGGATGTTGCTGTGGCGCTATTTCCGTTTCCTCGATTCTGATATAATTTGGCATTGGCCACAAGATTTGTTGTTGCATAGGCACCACAACTATCATAAAGTGATTGCTGTTGTTGCTGCTGCTGCTGTTGATAGGCCTTATTGTTGGCCGCCGCAAGTAGCTGCTGCTGTTGCTGCTGCAGCAGGGTTGCATGTGCACTTCCGCCATTTGGAGTTTTAAATGTTGAACATGCAACTTCAGCATAATCCGGCATGTTTAGTGGTGTAAGTCTGGAAATGGAAGAGAAACAAAAGAAGCGATATGAGTTACGGCGAAAATGAAAAAAAAAAAAACAAATAACGAAACTCAAAATGTAATTTTTAATATCAACATCGAAAGAATCCTGAAATGTACATGCAATACAAGTTTTATACAGAAAAAAAAAAAACCAAGAACGTTTTATGTTTCCCCGGAAAATGCCAACATTTTGATGTTCTGCCGCCTTCTTTGCTTTGTTTTTCAAATTCAAATAATATTTCATGTTCCCTGGAAGTCAATATAAAATAATCACTGGTTGTAAATCCGTTTACTTCTCCACCCATCTAGTTGGAAATGTTGTCGCATTAGCAATTTTGTTAAAAAAAAGGAAAATAATAGATTGCGTGAAACATGTACTAACGATGTACTAATTGCAGGAGATTGATTACTTGGTTCCGGACAAGATTACAGTTTGTATATATATATAGAATACGATAGGGATATCACTACAAAAAGGTAATGGCCAGCATGGCGGAAGCTCTACTATTACGAATATTAAAAAATCACTTAGTATTTAAAGGGTGATTTTTTAAGGTGTTATCTTTTTGATTACACTGGACTACACTTTTTGTGTTTTGCATCACTGTCAAACTGCTTCAGTTTAGTTTGTAATTTGGTCATGATATGACGGAGTGAGAATCAAGTCCAGAAACGGCTGGAGCTAGAACATTGAAATTTTATTTGAGTCGCGTGATAAGGTCAGTTTTTTTTTCTCAAATTTCGCTTTTTGTGTGGTTTGGTTGATTTTGGTTTGGTTTTGGTTGACATCGGCGGGAGTTAGGAAATATGTACTAAAAAGTACTAAATAGTATAAACTTTGATACTTGGCGAAAGAAATGGGACTGGAAATCGAAAATTTGTTGTCAAGTCTTTGAAGTTATAGATTACGTATAGGATAGACAAAGTAAATCGTTTTTCGAAATTCTAACAATACGTGTACCAAAAGTACTAAAATGCACGAAATTTGGTACCATTTGGAATAGTCTGAACAGAAAGTGAGAAAATCTTGAAATTTGGCATGAGAAACAATTCTTTGTAAATTGGATTGGTTTTAAAAATATGTACAAAGTATAGGAACTGTACTAAATGGTATTAAATTTGGTAAAATTTCGTTTTGGGTGAACGTATTAGGCTGGAGTTTTGTAATTTTTTATAGGGGTCTCTTTGGTGGTAGTTTTGTGACAAGGAGGTGGAGTTGGAAATGTTTGCTAGAAGTGCATGAAAAGTACTAAGTACTGCTTTATTTTTTACAAGTTGCTATTGGGTGAACAAATAGAGATAGAAATGTGTAGCCTGGACATATGGAGGTGGTTTTGGATGTGTGTATTATAATTATACCCAAAGTACTTAATGGAACTAAACATTTAATACTTTGATTTAGACAAAGCAAAAATTCAGAAATTTCGAATGAGAGTCAGTGGAGGATTGCAGAATAGATGTATTAAATGATTTTGATAAAATTCGAAATTACGAAAAGTTCTATATGTGACTTTAATCGTCCGAAACGTACTTTATAGTACTAATTTGGGTATTGGAGGATGTCTGTGTTTAAGATATGAAGGTGGTTTTTGAATCATAATTATACGAATTGTATGAAAAGTGCTAAATGGTACTAAATTTGGTCCCGGTTGAAGAGATAGCGAAAAAATTCTCCAATTTAATATTTAGAGTTTTGATGTGTTTTAGCGGTGGTTTGGAAATTTGTGCCACATTTTTATGAAAAGTACTAAATGGTACTAAATTTGGTACTGGGTAAAAGGGGTAGGGCTGGAATCCCTAAAATTTTATATTGAGGTCTTTGTTGGTATCTGGGTGTTACAGTTATACTAAAAGTACTAAATAGTACTAAATTTTGAATTAGGTGAAGGATTACAGCGGAAAACCTGAAATTTGATGTGGATATATAATTGTACAAAAAGTACGAAATTGTACTAAATTTGGTATTGGGAAAAGAAATAAAATTGAAAACCAGAAATTTGATATAGATGTCACTGTAGGTATCTGTGGTTAAGATATGAAGGGGTTTTGGAAATCTGTACTTTAATTGAATGAAAAGTACTACATAACACTAAATTCGGTTTTCAGTAAAGGGGTATAGCTAGATTCCCAAAAATTTGATATTTAGTTCCCTGTTAGTATCGGGGATTAAGTTTTGGAGACGTTTTTGCAATTGTGTACTATTTTTGTACGAAACGCACTAAATAGTACTGGATTTGAATTGGGTGAAGGAATAGAGCTGAAATCCTAAAAATTGATTTTGATATCACATTTTATGCTTGTAGCTGAGAAGAGGAGTTAGTTTTAGAAATGCGTGAGAAAAACGTACGAAAATCACAAGATGTTTCATAGGGTGCTGGGATAGAAATGGAATTTAATATGGGGTCTTCTGTTGGCATATCGTTTTGAGAGAAGCAGGTGGATTTGGGAATAAATACTATGATTGTTCAAAACATACTAAAAAGTACTAAATTTGCCGTTGACCAAATGGATAGAGCCTGAATCCTGAAATTTAATATTAAGGGCACTGTTGGTTTCTACGGCTTACGTGTGAACAGAAAAAATGGATGTGGGTCTATTGTGCAATGGTTTTACTAATATTCTCCTTGGTAAACTTCAAAATGAAAGATTTAAAAGACTTTTGGTGTAAAAGGTAAAGATAAAAGGTAAAAAAATTTTCTCTGGAAATAGATCAAATTTGAATAACACTGTGATTAAAAAAAATTCTCAAACCGAACAAATTGCGCATTTTGAGTACTAATAGGCTTAACTTGAACGAAAAATTTTAAGGTAGCATTTTCGCTTATTGTAACCTTAAGTATAGTCGTACCCATTCATTGCCTTGTGTTGAATATTTAACATTTAGAAATGTCAAAATAGACAGAGGACAAAAAGTGACCGCTATGGCCATTTGTCCCTCAGAAATGGGATAAAAATGAAAGATTTATGCTTTAATTAGAGGTTTTGTGAAAAATCGGTCTTCCCTTTCAAAATAAAACATTTCTGGCACAGCGGTGTGCGTTATCATAAAAACCTTTGTAATTACATTTGGTTATTATGGTTATACCATAATATCCACGTATTTTATTTCCCCTATTAAATGGACATTCTAGGGGTAGCATTTGTATTCCTGTTTTCTAAAAACATTTTCTTCTAAATTGAACCCCATTCCTTTCAATTATAAAAAAAAACCCACTCACCCTTCAGAGCATATTTTGATCCGTCATCAAAATATGAAATATTTTCCTAGGTTTGACACATAAACCTGCATTTTTTTTAATAAATTAAATTTTAATTCAATTTTCGTGAAATACAATTTCATGCCTTCGCTGTTGCTTAGGTATTCTTTCCAAATATCATATCATACTCAACACTTGTTCCTTTTACTTCTTTTCAAATTTCCGTAAAGAAAAAAATAAATAAATGCCCCTAGATATTTATACCTTCTCTATTTTCCCTCCACCCAAAACATTTTTTGAAACATCTTTTAACATAGTTTTCTTAATTAAGTATCGTATTCAATTTTATTTTGGTGTTGTTTCTTCTTTTGAGGAGTCAAAAAAGATGAATTTACCTGGCATTTTTTCATTGCTATCGGTATGCCGAGACTATGTGGCACAAGTGGCCTAAACTTACTTAAGATGCTCTTCTTATATTTCCATCTTTCGAGTATTTTTTGTGAAGTTATAACTTAAGTGGTTTTTAATTAGTTCAGTTTGTTGAGCATATTTTCCAGCTTTTGGTGAGGGTTTTTTGTGTTTTTTCTTTGGAATTTAGTAGTCTTGCGGAAAATATTTCTGTTTTAATTGCTTTTCTTTTCTTGATATCCTTTTCGTTTTGTAGGGTTTTCATAAAATCTAATTGAGTTGAAATAGAAGTGAAGCTGTTATAAATTTGTGTTAAAGGTATGTTTTGGGAGAACCTTTTGCTGAAATTACATCTACCACCACTACACAGTAATAGTTAAGTTATAGGTGAGTGTGTGTGGAATTATTTACGAAGAGGGGAAAAATTAAAGAGATCTTCTAATATTATTTTAATAGGATTCGGCGTTGTATCCTCCGTGAAAACGATTCTTTTCAAGAGTTGAAGATTAGAAAATCGCAAAGAAAGCTTCTGATTTTGAGGCTCACAGAAAACCGTATTGTTAGCAAATATTAGTATGTTAGACATATTTTTTTTGTGACGTGTTAGGACGATTGGAGGTAATTTAAATAGGGTCTTGAGAGGCGAAAACACACCAGAACTAAACAAGCCTTCAGATGCTATAGAAAGTTTTACAAGACGTATAATTATAGATTTTAAATTGCTAATAGCTGAATTATAAGCATTGTAATGAAAGCACGTAAACTCCGTCATAAGGTAGACTGACCTCCCCACGTACGATTTATGTTCAAAAGGTATTGTGAAATTTCAATTTTTGTGGGATATGTGTAATTAGTTGCGTAATGTTGAAACAAACGTCCCGGAATTATGCTGATAATGATATTCATGTTTACATCCCCTACCTAATACCCTATGCAATCCTACGATGTTTTTTCACCGCAAATGTTGAAGAATTGTATTCGTATGAATGGGTCAACGCCTGTATAGGTTTACTTTTGACAATAAACTCAGTAGTTTTGCACTATTCTGATTTAAATCCCTTTGAATTTCAAATCAAAATGTATTTTTTCCACAGCAAACTAAGTTGTCAGATGGTCTAACCAGCCTTATATAAACCATGGAATGAGCATATAAAATTTCGAAGTCGAACAAATTCAGAACTTTTTGCTTTTTTTCTATGTTGAAAAGAAAAACGAATAATAGAACAAGCAAAGGGTAAGATAAAAAACTGCAACAAAATCAAACGCCATAATATTTATATATATATATATTTTTTAAATTTTATTGAATGAAAGCAAAAAAATGTCGGAAATAGCATCAAATTTTAGAATAAGTTTAGATTTGTTCGAATTGGTGACCTTTGGCACGAATTATGGCCTTCAAAGAGACAATAAAACCGGCACACGCTTCGCGAATGTTTCTTTGCGGCATTTTTGCCCATTCCCGGTGAAGCGCTTGCTTGAGGTGATCGACACTTTGGTATTTTTTAGTGCCAAACTTGCTTTTCAAAATACTTTAGACACAATAGTCCAATGGATTGGTATCCGGAGATTTTGTTGGCCATTGTGCACTGGAAATGAAGCGAGGAACCTAATTTTGTAACCATTCTTGGGTGTCACGTGCTCAGTGCCTCCTGTTGGAATGTCCAAGGTCTGCGGCCAAAATATTTATGTACCCAAGGCTTTAATACACCCTTCAGAATATTTTCGCGATAATATTCGACATTTATTCTGATGCCAAGAGCGACAATCAGCTGTTATGGCGGCCAACACCATCACCATGACCGGCTCTTGAGTTCTGGTGGCCAACCGACGGTGCACATTTTCAGCTGACCTTTTTGGCAAGTAAACACGATCATTTTGTTTGTTTACAAACCGCTGGACAACGAATGTTTTCTCATCGGAGAAAACCAAATTCGGCAGTTCACCACTTTCGGTCAAGCAAAGCAACTCTTTAGCTCTTTTGAGTCTATTATCTCTCTGTTGCGGTGTAAGTTCTTGTACTTTTTGGAATTTCAATGGGTTTACCCCGAGCTCATTTTTCAATATTTGCCGAATGGAATATTGCGATATGTTTAGCTCACGAGCAATTTTTCAGCCACTGCGACGCGGGTTTCGATCAAATCGCTTCTTTACTTTTCGAACCATTTCTGCTGAAGTTGCTGTTTTCTTCCGTCCACTTCGTTGACATCGGGCTACGGTACCAGTATCACGGTAACGAGCGACGCTACGAGACACAAAAGTTTTATTGACATTTAAATGCTGGAGTGCTCTAACGATAGCCACTTTTGGTTTTCAAGCCAAATATAAAGAAATGACACTATCACGCTTGAATTTCATCGCGAATAACTTTTTTTCAGGAAAATTCTCACCAAAATGCATTTGTACGCTGGTAAAAAATATAATGATCTGTCACTGAAAAAATTTTAACAGCTGGTGGACTAGTGACTTAGAAACGACAGCAGTCTGAAGTTGGTTGCAGTTTTTATACCCTCCACCAAAAAAAGTATGGAGGGTATATTAAGTTCGTCATTCCGTTTGTAACTCATCGAAATAATCATTTTAGACCCAACAAAGTATATATATTCTTGATCAGCGTAAAATTCTAAGACGATTTAGCCCTGTTCGTCCGTCTGTCCGTCCGTCCGTCTGTACGTCTGTTGTAATCACGCTACAGTCTAAACGAATTAAGATAGGAAGCTACAATTTTGCACAGATCTCTCTTTTGTCTGCAGGCAGGTCAAGTTCGAAGATGGGCTATATCGGTCCACGATATCGTATAGCCCCCATATAACGGTATCCCCGATATTCGGTATTTTGATGATGTTAGCCACATTTTTCAATGGAATTGTCTGAAAATCCACACAAGTAGTTCCTTGTGGGTACTTTATACTTCGGCAGAGAATTATCTGTATAGGTCCACAATATCGTATAGCCCCCATATAACGGTACACCCACGGTATTCGGTATTTTGATGATTTTAGCCACATTTTTCAATGGAATTGTCTGAAATTCCACAAAAGGAGTCCCTTGTGGACATTTTACCCCCTCAAAAAGAATTGTCTATATAGGTCCACGATATCGTATATCCCCCATATAACTGTACCCCCGATATTCGGTATTTTTTATGATGTTAGCCGCACTTTTCAATGGAATTGTCTTAAAATCCCCACAAGTAGTTCCTTGTGAGTACTTCATCCCCTGAGAGAGATTTGTATTTACAGGTCCACGATATCGTATATCCCCCATATAACGGTACCCCCCCGATATTCGGTATTTTTATGATTTTACCCACATTTTTCATCGGAATTGTCTGAAAATCCACACAAGGAGTTCCTTGTGGGTTCTTTATACCTCGGCAGAGAATTATCTATATAGGTTAACGATAACGTATAGCTCCCATATAACGATACCACGCGATATTCGGTATTTTGAAAATCCACACAAGGAGTTCCTTGTGAGTACTTTACACGCAGACATAGATTTGTCTTTATAGGTCCACAATATCGTATATTCCCCCATATCGGCACCTTTCTATATTAGATATTTTAAAGAGTTTAAAAGAATTTTTAGTGGAATTTATTATTTTTTTTTTTAATTTTCTAATTCGTTCCAAATGGTGGAGGGTATTCAAAGTTCGGCCCTGCTTTTTTACTTGCTTCATCTAAATTGGGACCAATTCTTATTTCAATAGGATTCGTCCTCTGGTAAAGCAAATGATTGTACCTTTACTTTGTTTACAAAACACATGGACAGACGGATGGACAGATCATCAAAAAGAACTAGAGTTCTATTTCCTTTCCTTTGCATGTTACAAAGAAATGCACAAAGGCATAATACCCTGTAAAATAGCGTGGCTTAGGGTATACCAATATTGTCTACAATTTATGCAATCAGGAGGAGAGTCCAGTTTTACTTTGAGTATTATCTTTAATAAATTTATATTTTATTATGTACAATTTCATAAACTTTCTCATTAACTCGTCTTCTCTAATATCTAATGAACATCCATATTTTATTAGGTTCCAAAAGCGAATTTTCGTGTATTTCAATACCTTCAAAACTGCTGATGCTTGCACAAGGCCCAGCCGCTCCCTACACAATACAACTCTTCAATTAAATATTCCAAACAAGAAAACTCATGATAATTTCCAATTTTTCTATCATTACAATTACGTGCTCGACCCAATGAGGAAAACTGCCATAAATAATCGCACTCCGCCCCCCTCCCCCCATACTTCAATGAAGTAGAAGAAGTATTATTAATTTCGACAAGTATTTTTTTACAAGCATTTAGGTTTATCACGTAACTGCTTAACTTTATGTTTTCACTGGGTGGAGATTTTGCTCGAAATAAACCCTTTCGCATTGAAAGAGGAAATGTTTTGAGATTTGCAAAGCTTAGCGGAAAAACTGGTAATATGTATGGATGAATAGGTGTATAAAGGCGAGTGTATGTGCGTGCCTTAAAAAAAATTGCTTACCTTTCATAATCCGGCAATGGCATGTTGTTGGGCTGATTTTGTTGATGACTGTGGTGGGACTGTGATGAGGCCTGTCCCGTAACTTGTGCGTAATCTGGCAATTGTTCCTTTGTGGTACAGTTCGTTGTGCTGTTGTTGGCTTGACGCCAAACACCGCCTGTTGGGTCGATCCAAACACCATTGGCATTTAGGGGTAATGTGGGGAATTTCCTTACGGCGCCGATTGCGTGATTTCCTAAAATGAAAAAAAATAAAAAATAATCATCAGAAATGAAGAAAACGGGGCGTTAGCAGGGAGGAGGTTAAGAACACAAGCAAAGAATTTCTATTTTAATAAAAACATATTTCATTTCTTTTGTTGGCCTTTATCATCCGGCGTTGAAATCTTTTGTAGTTAGTTTATTGTTTTATTTCCAGCAGTTTGTAATATTTATTACAAATTGCCAGCTATATTTCTGTTTCGGAAATAAACAATTTATTAGAATGTTTGTCATTTATTTGTTTATTTGCTGTTTTCCGACCTTTACCCAGAAAGACTTATCTTTTGATATAACAACCTATTGTGTGGAAATTAAGTTTGAAGTTTATGACTTTGTTTTATTTAATTTCTGGCAATTTCCCGTACCTATCTACTGTTTTTAAAGGTTATTTAATTGTTGATATGTAGATTGGAGGGTTTTTTATGTTATAAATGCAACGAACAAGAAGAGAACAAGATTTGTGCCGACCTTTTCAAAGAATGAATACATTGTGATTACCTATAGAGACGAAGGGCTGTTTTCGAGAAGTGCAGTTTTGGTTTTAGCCTTTTTATACCCTCTACCATAGTATGGAGGGTATATTAAGCTTGTCATTCCGTTTGTAATACCTCGAAATATACATTTTACACCCCAAAAATATTTATATTCTTGATCAGCATAAAATTATATGTCGTTTTAGCTACCGTCGATCCGACTGTCCGTCTGTGGAAATCACTCTAGCTTCCGAACGAAGTGAAGTAGATTCATACAATTTTAATAAAATGTATATTATGTATGTATGGTATATATGCAAAAACGCTGAAGTACATGTATATACCAAAACGTGGAAGTACATGTGCCATTTTCAATACCAAAGTGTATTGAAAATGGGCCATGTACGTCCACGTTTTGGTATAGCTCCCATATAACGGTACCTGCCGATATTCGGTATTTTGATGATTTTTGCAACAATGTTCATCGGAATTGTTTCAAATTTGGTATTTGAAGTTTGTAATGGATACTGCAGCCTGACGCAGAAAATTGTCTGTGAAAGTGCACGCCTTCGTATAGCCCCCTTGTAACAGTACCATCCGATATTTGGTATTTTGATAATTTTAGCGACATTATTCACCGTAATTGCTTCAAATTTTGTATTTAGAGTTGGTAATGGCAAGACCACGTTTTGGAATAGCCCCTTACCTCTCCATATTCGGAATTTTTATGATGCAGGTCCATGTCGTCGTATAGATAGAATATAACGGCTACATTCTGTATTTTTAAGATTTTAACAGAATTTTTAACGGATTTTATTTATTTATTTTTTTTTTTTTTGAAAATTGCCAAATTCGTTCCAAGTGGTGGAGGGTATTCAAAGTTCGGCCCGGCCGAACTTATAGCTTTTTTACTTGTTTAATATAGTCCTTCTTGAAGTGGTATCATGCAGTCTGTAGCAATGTTTTTTGGTATAAAATATTAAAATGTCACAGTCAAATTTAGTGAAAATCGATTCAGAATTGGATATGCCTCCCATATATCTGTTCCCTCTGAAACCAAACTATAACCGCCAAATGTTGATAGGTGGTATGATCTACTTCGAATAAATTATTTTGTTACGGGAACTCTACTGAGTCAATTTATGCATGTCCGTCCGTCTGTCCGTCCGTCCGTCCTTCCGTCTGTCCGTCTATCCATGTATTCCTGAGAACAAAATGCAGGTCGCATTAATTATCCGATTGAGATGAAATTTTCCAAACAACATTTGTTTGACCCAAGGACGAACCCTATTGAAATTGGAGATAATCGGTAAAAATTTAGATATAGCTCCCATATATATCTTCGTCCGATTTGCCTTTTATTGTGCACCAAACGTGTAATATCAGCCCGAATAGTATGAAATTTTGAACATACAACCAAATTAGGCATGAAAATAAGTGTGCCAAATTTGATTGAAATCGGTTCAGATATAGCTATAGCTCTCATATATATTTTTCATCCGATTTGTTATTTTTGTCCTCCGCAGCCGTAATATGCACTCTGTAACAACAATATTTGGGGAAATATATCAAATGCAGCTCAGAAATATCTTTGCCAAATTTTATTGAGATCGGTTCAGATTTGGATATAGCTCCCATATATAACTTCGTCCGATTTACCTTATATTGTGCACCAAACGTCTAATATTTGTCCAAATGGGATGGAATTTGGCACTTAGGACCGAATTTAGTCTAGAAGCTAGTATGTCAAATTTGGTGAAGATCGGTTCAGATATAGTTATAGCTCCCATATATATTGTTCATCCGATTTATTGTATTTCTTACCCACAGCCGTAATATGCACTCCGTAACAACGATATTCAGGGAAATATATCAAATACAGCTCAGAAATATCTTTGCCAAATTTTATCGAGATTGGTTCAGATTTGGATATAGTTCCCATATATATTTTTATCCGATTTCAAATTAATTTCGCACCAAATGGGCAATACAAGTCCGAATTTAAAAGATACAAATGCTTCGGCATATTTAGTCCTTTGAATTTTAAATTATAATTATAATCAAAGCGTGTATGATTGAATTCTCCCATAAAAACTTTTAATTTTTAAGTGGAGCTCAACTAAATTAGCAAAGTGGTGTAGGGTACCATAAAATCGGCCCCGCCCGACTTTAGGACTTTCTTTACTGGTTTTTTTGTTACTTTATCATGTGAACTTTTATAGTCTGCTGGATTGTCTGCGTAATTATTTTATTAACTCCAAATGATGAGGAGTTTCGTTAAAAAAAGTTGGTTGTTTGGACTCTATCCAACATATGGATAGACGAACAAACGGACGGACATGGCTAAATTGCCTTAGAATTTTACACTGAACGAAAATATATTCTTTTTTGGGTTCAAATGATTATTTCGAAGAATTTCAAAGTAATGGAAAACTTAATAAAAATATATCGAGGGTATAAAAATTTGATTTGGCGCGTAGATATCAAAAAATTTGTAATTTCTCTCGAGATTTGATTACAAAAATTCGATAGATATAATTTATTAGCCTTAAAGCCTTCAATCTTCTAATATTAATATAGTTCCAGCTATTTTTCATATATATATTTAGCATAAGACATTATTTTCTCACAAGATGTCATATTTCCTTGGATTATTTAATTAATTCGTTATCATTTTTCGTTCCATTTACTCACCATGTAAACTCCCCAACGATGTTTGTTTGATGAACTGATATCGTTTAAATAACACCAATGCACCAAATAGAAAAACTATAATAGCGATTATGGAGCCCAGTAAAACGATAAACCACGTCTGCGTTAAAAAATCATCAGCAATATCACGATTGATGGGATATCTAGAAATGAAGAATGAAAACAAACAAACAATGGCGAAACATTTCATTAATGCTCAACTCAACACTTGGTCAATTGAAATGCGTTACAGTGATCTACAGCATCAACAACAGAACAACGAAAACAACAAGAATGTCCTGAGCTTACCTTGTATAGCCTGTATCCAATGACTGTGTTCTCGGATCCATACGCAATACAGCCGGCTTACTGAATGGACCCACGCCGACACGAGTGGCGGCAGCAACGGCAATGTAATAGGTAACACCTGTAGTCAGATTGGCCAACAGCAATGTCGGTGAGCTGGCATCAATTGTCATATTTTTATAGATGCGTGTTGTATTGTGAGCATCAAGTCCTTTGACAATCACATTGTAGTTGGTAAGGATGCCTGTGTGAAATTATGGAGAAGGAGAAAGAGAAGAAAAAGAGAAAGAGAAAAATTGCAGGCTTATTTCGATGTTATGGAAAATGAGGATGTGTGCAGATGGTGGAACGGTGCTGCTGCTGATGATGATGATTAAGTAGAGCTCTATGCTGTATGTTTGCTTGTGTGTGTTGGTATTGTCGGTTGTTGTCACGTTAGCAATCATCAGGAGAGCACTATTTCATCTTTAATCCTTACCATTGCGAGTCCTGTTGGGATACGGTGGCTGCCATTTCAAAAAGACCGAGGTGCGATTGAATTGTATAGCTTCCATGCCGTGTGGTGGCGATTCGGGAACTGTAATGAAAAATGGCATAATAAATGGAATTGTAAATGCACATTGCAGACTGACACACACACAAACAAAGAATTGCAAAAAGAAAAAAGAAACGAAGAACCGAATAAATTGAATGAAATGTAATCTTTGATTAACAACCGACAGCCTAGAATCGAAATGTTCATATGATAATGGACAACAATGGTGCTGCGCAAGGACTAAGGCATTTTTTGGTGTAAAATATTACATTCTACTTAAGCGATTTAAAGGGTACTTAAAAGGCTATTTGCGAATACAGTAGATAAATAATATATAAATGATGATGTGGATACATTGGACGCATTATGTTGTGGATATTTTATCAGTGTCTCCCAAATATTTTCGATGACGCTTAAATACTGTACATACATTATTCACTATACTATTTAAAAGTTGTAGATACTTTTTCCACAACCAACAAATTTTGTAGGTACTCTCGAAACATCGCTTAAATGTGGAAGATACTTTATAAACTGCGCCTACATGTTGTAGATACTTTCTACATTGCTCACAAATTATACAGATAATTTTTGTAGATACTTTATTTACTGCACCTACTTGTTAAACATTATCTTCTAACATCACTCTAAGAGAGCAGATACTTTGAAAATATTGTAGACACTTTATCTACGTCACTAAATGTTAACGACATTTTGTACACACCATATAAATATTAATGTTATAGGAATCATATACACGCCATCCAAGTGTTTATACCTACACCACAAGGTGGTCAGGGTATTATGTCTTTGTGCATTTGTTTGTAATAGGCAAAAGGAAACGAGATAGACCCATAGTTCCTTTTGATGATCTGCATAGAATCACTTTCTGAGTTGATTTATGCATGGCAGTCCGTCGGTCCGTCCGTCTGTCAATGTATTCTTGTGAACAAAATGCAGGTCGCATTTATTATCCGATTGAGATGAAATTTTCCAAACATCATTTGTTTGGCCCAAGGACGAACCCTATTGAAATTGGAGATAATCGGTAAAAATTTATATATATCTTCGTCCGATTTGCCGTTTATTGTGCACCAAACGTGTAATATCAGCCCGAATAATATGGAATTTTGTACATACAACTAAATTAGGCCTTAAAATAAGTATGTCAAATTTGATCGAAATCGGTTCAGATATAGATATAGCTCCCATATATATTGTTCATCCGATTTGTTATTTTTGTCCTCCGCAGCCGTAATATGCACTCTGTAACAACAATATTTGGGGAAATATATCAAATGTAGCTCAGAAATACCTTTGCTAAATTTTATTGAGATCGGTTCAGATTTGGATATAGCTCCCATATATAACATCGTCCGAGTTGCCTTTTATTGAGCACCAAACGTCTAATATTTGCCCAAATGGGATGGAATTTGGCACATAAGACCGAATTGAGTCTAGAAGGTAGTATGCCAAATTTTGTGAAGATCGGTTCAGATATAGCTATAGCTCCCATATATATTGTTCATCCGATTCGTTGTATTTGTTACCCACAGCCGTAATATGCACTCCGTAACAACGATATTCAGGGAAATATATCAAATATGTACAGCTCAGAAATATCTTTGCCAAATTTTATCGAGATCGGTTCCGATTTGGATATACCTCCCATATATATTTTTATCCGATTTAAAATTAATTGTGCACCAAATGGGCAATACAAGTCCGAATCTCAAAGATACAAATGCTTCGGCATATTTAGTCCTTTGAATGTTAAATTATAATTATAATCAGAGGGTGTATGATTGAATTCTCTCATAAAAACGTTTAATTGTTTTGTGGAGCTCAACTAAATTAGTGTAGGGTATCATAAAATCGGCCCCGCCCGACTTTAGGACTTTTTTGACTGGTTTATATATAATATGCAAAATATTCAACTACTTTCACAACCATAACCATTTGCAATCGCTTTCTAAACTTCCCTTAAATATTGAAAATACTTTATAAGCAGCATCTACATGTTGTAGATACTTTTTACACGTCGTTTAAATGTTGTAGATTTTTTAGAAACCTCAACCAATTGCTATTTATACTTTTTCTATTTCACCTAATTTTACCCTCCACCATAGTATGGAAGGTATATTAAATTTTTCATTCCGTTTGAAACACCTCGTAATATACATATTAAACCCCACAAAGTATATGTATTCTTGATCAGCAGAAAATTCTATATCGATTTAGCGATGACCGTCCGTCTGTCCGTCCATCCGACTTTCTGTCTGAGGCAATCACTCTAGCTTCCGAAAGAATTGAGGTAGGCTGATAAATTTGTACTCAGATGTGTCTTTAATCTGCTGGACTTTTGGTATTGAAAGTGGGCTATATGGTCTATGTTTAGGTATAGCCCCCATATAACTGTACCTCCCTATATTCGGTATTTGGATGCTTTTAGCAACATTGTTCACCGAAATTGTTTAAAATATCGTATTTGAAATTCCTAATGGGTGCTACAGCCTATAAAAGAAAATTGTCCCCGGACCTGGGTCTTTGTATAGTCCCCATACATCCCCATATATCCTCCGTATATTTTAACGATTTTATGTACAATGTTCGCCGGAACTGTTTCAAATCTCGTATTTACAGTTCGTAACGGGTACTACAGGGTGTGACGGAAAATTGTCAATGCCGGTCCACGTCTTCGAATAAACCCCAAAATAACGGTACCTCCTTGTATTTGTAATTTTTAAGATTTTAACAGAAATTTTAAAGGATTTTATTTTTTTTTTTAAATGTTCAAATTCGTTCCAAATGGTGGATGATATTTAAAGTTCGGCTCGGTTGAAGTTAATGGCTTTAACTTGTTTTTAAATATACTTTATCAATCTCATCTCAGTAACGTAGATACTTAAAAAATATTAGTAGATACTTTATCAATCAGACCTTATTGATGGAGATACTTTATCCACGTCTCCTAAATAACGCAGATACCCACATCAACTTTATATAATTTTCTAAATATCTACATCTATTCTTTCACCACATACATCCAATCTACAAAACTAATACAGACTCCTCTTTTCTTACTACATCGATAGCAACAACAACAACATCCATCCAAATTACTCACCATCTTCCATTGTTGTGCAGTGCTTCGAATTTGATGGCTTGCCTATGACGCTCTTGTAAAATGGCACAAGAAAAAACTCATATTTACTCGCCTTAGCCAAGCCATTAACGGTACAAGCACTTGCCCCATTCCCCGCATTCAAGACTGTCATCATTTTGTACTCGGCCGAATGTAGTTCACGTGCGTAAATATAAAAGCCTTCAATATATTGGCCGCTATCGATGTCCCACGCCAACCGGACACTGGTCGAGTCGGTGGCATTGGCTTCGAGTAGTTCGACAACGTCGTTGGTTTGTAACAAAGTTTCCACTTCGGCAAACATCAAATCTTCATTGGCACCACCCGCACCGCCGAGACTGCCCGCACCACGATGAACACCCCGGGTTACAAGCTGGCCGGCCGTTATCGGTTCGGATATGGGTGAGGGTGGCGAAAAACCCAAAGCATTCTCGGCTCGCACAATAAACATGTATGCCGCACCATTTGTCAAGCCATCAACTGTGAAAATAGGTTCAATCAGGCGTGATGCAATCGGTATCCATGTTTTGCTTTTATTCGTCGAATACATTTCCACCGAATAGCCCAGCAGTGGCGATGCTCCTGGCTTATCACTTGTTGGCCAGACGATGGTCAGTGAATCGGCACTTGCATTTAATACTTTCGGTTGACCAGGAGCTGAAGGACACTTACTTTGTTCAGGTGCTCGATAGAATTTGATGTTGGGATTTGTGGGCACTTCAATGCGCAGATAACCGCTCCATGTGCTCTTGCCCGTCCGACTGCTGGCCACACACGTGTACAGACCCTGATCCTGTTGCCTATCTAAATCGGAAATTATTAAATCACCTGCTGTGGTCAAATTAACTTTTGCCGTCGGATGGATGGGTATGCCGTCACGATACCACGATATGGTGGGGTTAGGCAGCCCGATGGCCTTGCAATGCAGTGTGGCCAAACTTTTTATGGGCAGTGTTTGATTAACCGGTCCCATTATGATGATTGGCGGTGGCCGGTCTTCCTGTGAGTCCAAAGTTAATTGTGCCCTTGTGGTTATGGTGGCCACTTCGTTCATGGCATTGCAGACAATAACTAAATCTTTGTCACTGCGTTGAAATTTCGTCAACGTCAAGATGGAGTGGCCTTCTTCGGTGTTGATCGATTGGAAGCGGTCCAGTGGTGGGGCACCGGGGAAGATGATGGTTCTATTATTTTTAATGGTCCAAAATATGGTGGGACGGGGATTGCCGGTAGCACGACATTCGAATGAAGTGTCGGCACCCAATTCTACGGAATTACTAGTGGGACGTTGTAAAAATTTGGGAGGTGCTACAAAAAGAGTAATAATTGAAGACACAAACACACACAGAGAGACAGAGTGATGGGGGGAAGTTTAGCAATAATTGTTTATATAAATTATATGTGGGTATATATGTTTGTTAATATTGTTAAAATATTAGTTTGTGTGAAGATAAGACTTACCGTATACTGTGAGGGTACCCATGGCGGAAATAGCCCCCACAATATTATCAGCTTCACAGCTATATTCACCCTCATCGGCCACAGTAACACGTTCCAAACGCAGGCTGCGATCTTCCAAGACACTGACACGATCTAGGAAAAAGTGAAGAAAATAAATATTTGTGAGAATAGAACTTGAGGTGAAATTTTATATTTCTTGTAAGGGGCCGTCCTCCTGTCATTCATACGTTCCCTGAGGACAAATTCCAGGTTTCTATATCGAAAAAGTTTCAGATATAGCTCTCATATATTTTTCCACTCATTTTATGCAAACCTTTGCCTATTTTTAGATTGAATTGTTGATCATACCATGAAGTTCCGGGTCTACGAAGCTAGGATCAGCTAAATATAACAATACTAAAATATGAATAACTTTTACAGGGATGGTATTTATACCCTACACCACATAGTGGTAAGGGTATTATGCCTTTGTGCATTTGTTTGTAACATGGAGAAGGAAGCTATATAGACTCATTGTCACATTTAAGGATCTTCATAGAATCATTTTCTGAGTCAATTTATGAATGTCAGTCCATCTGCCCATGTATTTTTGTCAACAAAATGCAGGTCGCATTTATTATCCGATTGAGGTGAAATTTTCCAAACAATATTTGTTCGGCCAAGGGACAAATCCTATTGAAATTGATGACAATCGGATCTGATCTAGATATAGCTCCATATACATTTCTTCAGTCCATTTCGGATTAATAGTGCACTAAATGGCCAATATCAGTCCAAAAGGCCTGAATTTTGGTAGATCCGACCGAATTCAGCCTAGAAACAAGTACATCAAATACGGAGAAAATCGGTTCAGATATATCAATGTACATGTTTCATCCTTTAAGTCTCCCAAATTCGTAATAACCATTCGACAACAATGATACTGTGTACCAGATATCTTATAGAGCTCGGAAATATCTTTGCCAAATTTTATCGATATCGGCTAAGCTGTGCATATAGCTCCTAAATATCATTAATCCGATTTTAGGTTTATTGTTCGAAAAATGGCTAATATAAGCCAAAATTGACTGCATTTTCTGGACGTACGTTTCCGATATAAATTTTTAAATATAATCCTTCTCATGCACTCTATAGCAATGTTATTTGGTATAAGAGATTAAAATGTCTTAGTCAAATTTAGTTTCACTAATTTAGAATTGGATTTACCTCCCATATATTAATTAGTTCCCTCTGAAACCAAAGTGTAACTGTTCTAAAGCCAAATGTTGATAGGTGGTATGATCTACTTGAAATAAATTCTTTTCTCACGGAGCTCTACTAAATATGCATAGTGTTGTTGGATATCATATAGTCGGTCCGCACTACTTTTGACTCTACTTACTGGTTTTGTAGTTAAAATCTTTAAAATATTGCAAATAGGGCTGTATTATATTATGAAGGCTAAGTCAAATCACATTTTTACCCTTGGTCTCATGGCTGATTTTTCTTTTCATTCTCCTTCAAAACTAACATCTCAACGAAGTCGAGGTTAAATCACATCTCAACCTCAAATAACTTCCCAATTTCGTTTTACAACAAATTTGAACTGATGCCTCCCGTTTTTCTACACTCCTTAACATATGATTGTATTGCCTTCTCCGTAAAAACCAAGCCAATGTGAGCATCTACCTTTAGCCTCCCATACCATGACGCCATGCCATAAATCACATACCCTCACATAATTATTTTGTAGTTTCCTCTATATTTTTAACTTTATCTGTCACCCTTTTACACAACCACCGTAACTCCACATATATACATCACTCTTTCGTTCTCCCACACAAACACATTTGGTGCTTATCTTTGCGTTACCTCCAAATGCTTCTTGTCTATCACTCGAAATCCTCAATTTCACCGCAATCCATCGACATGTGGATTGGTGGGGAAAAATCTTACAAATATTGCTACATAACCTGGAACATTTACTACTACTACACCGATGTTACCTACACAAATACACAGGTTAAAATTCTAATGATATTGTAAGTTGTGGAGATGCTGTGGCGTCGGTTGTAGCTCCACAGCGTAAACGCCACTACACAGTGGGGGGAAATTTTCATTTCAAATTTTTAATAAAATAAGGCAGAAAGAATGAATCGTACCCTGTGAAACCTAAATATACTTTAAAATATTACTATTTTTGTCAAAAAGTCTTAAAAAATTTTGTTATTAAAGATCGTCGGCTTACTTCAAATATGTATTTGAACGATTTTCGGTCATAAATCATACAAGTATTCTGAAAAATACATGTTTTGTCAGTGTGTATTTGATTTTTTAAAAAACCCTGCGATTTTGGTCTGAGAAGTAATGCACGATATGGGATCAGGAGGTCTTCGAACAAAATCTATCATTTTGACCTGCTTAAAGTTTGAAAAAAAAATTTTGAGATAGTCGAAAGTTGGACCACATCGATTATCTTGAGATTTATGAGTTTTAAAAAGTTATTTTTTAAATTTAAATGCCCTCCACCATTGGGTAAAGAAAACATTTTTACATAAAATCATTTGAATTCAACGTTTTCCACTTTAAACTGCAAGTACCAGTCAGTACTTTTGGATAATGCAGTTAAACTTTTGAAAGAACCATAAAGTGTGTGAGGCCCTTTCATGGGGCCCTACCAAAACGGGAACCTATAGAAAATAGAAAATTTCATACTAAAAGGATTGTTATCTATTGCGAATCTTAAGAACCAAATTTGAAACAATTTCTTGGATAAATGTGACCAGGATTATCAAAATACCGAATTTCAGTGGGTGCCGTTGTATGTGCGCTATAGGAAAAAGTAGACATAGATATTCAACGTTCTGCTACCGAAAGTAAAACACATTATGAATTACAAATATAAATTTTTAGACAATTCCGTGGAAAAAAAATTGGCTAAAACCATCAAATATCGGGAGGGCTGTACGAAATACCATCAAAATATCGAATATCGGGTAGCTAAAACCATTAAAATATAGCATATCGTGAGGTACGGAAGGTATGGGGGCTATACGTGAACCGATATCATTTTTGTTGTGCCAAATTTTGAAGCTCTACGTCAAATGATGTGGGCTGTATTTCGATTAAATCGAAATCACGATACAGGCAAAAGGAAACGAGATAGACCCATAGTTCATTTTGATGATCTGCATAGAATCACATTCTGAGTCGATTTATGCATGTCCGTCCGTCTGACCATGTATTTTTGTAAACAAAGTACAGTTCGCATTTATTGCCCTATCCTGATGAAATTTTGCACAAATCATTTGCTTGGCCCAAGGGCGAACCCTATTGAAATTGGAGATAATCAGTCAAAATTTAGATATAGCATATATATATCTTCATCCGATTTGCCTTTTATTGTGCACCAAACGTATAATATCAGTCCGAATAATATGGAATTGCACGTACGATCAGATTGGACCTGAAAATAAGTATGCCAAATTTTATCGAAATCGGTTGAGATATAGCTATAGCTCCCATATATATTGTTCATCCGATTTGTTATTTTTGTCCTCCGCAGACGTAATATGCACTCTGTAACAACAATATTTGGGTAAATGTGTCAAATACAGCTCAGAAATACATTTGCTAAATTTTACCGAGATCGGTTCAGATTTGGATATAGCTCCCTTATATAACTTCGTTCGATTTACCTTTGATTGTGCACCAAGCGTCTAATATTTGCCCAAATGAAATGAAATTTGGCACTTACGACCGAATTGAGTCTAGAAGCTAGTATGTCAAATTTGAAGATCGGTTCAGATATAGCTATTTTGCTTATTAACGGTCCCATTCAATATGAAATGGGCTTCAAAGGACATGATAATTTTGTTCCAAAATTGCTCGTCATCTTCGGCCATTTCGATGACTCTTTGGGCCCATTCCAATCGACGAGGCTTGTCTGCAGGCAACATTCTTTGCGTCAATTGAATTTTGTACGGGAACAAATGCAAATTAATGCGAATAATCCGTTGTAAAGTGGACCGAGCCATGCCCAACTGCTGAGAACGGCGTTTTTGGGATGTTCTTGGGACCTCTCAACACTGACTTGTACGGCAGCGATATTCTCGGCCGATCGCCTTGGTCGACTTTTATATGGCCTGTTCGGATTAGAAAGAGCCTTACCAGTCGAACATTTTTCGTATAAACGCTTAATGGTGTTCTTAGAAGGCGCACTTCCCACATTTTTTAATGTTTTAAAATCACGTTGAGTTTTCACAATTGACTTCTTCTGTTGAATGTAAATTTCAACTATTTCAGAGCGCTCGCGTGGCGTGTATTGGTTCATGGTAAAAATCTGCTTGGACTGACGCTTCAAACGCGGTATGTCATTAAGCGATGTGACATCTCTGTCAAAAGTTATGGCGTTGCCAGATGGGTCCGTCGAATATGGGCAACCCTGTATATAGATTGTACATATTTTGCTATATACCCATATATTGGCTACCAGCGTCAATGTAGCATGAAGTCGAGGGGTTTTACATGATTATCGCCTTGACGGCTTCAACCATGATGCACCATTGCACAGGGGTCGCGATACGATGCGTCGGCCAGCGCCCCTTTGGAATTACCCAGAGTTCTCTTAGAGAGTGGTAGCCCTCCACGGAGTTCTAGGTCTATTCCGCAGGTACCAATTCGAAGATCAGCTATATGGGCTTCACTTCCCTCTTGGTAAGGGGTTGAGGACTATCTTATACCTCCGCTGCTCTATGGGTCGCAGCACCCGGTTGAGAATGCAACACCACATCGAGCCGAAGCTCTACCCGCGATTTGGGTATAAACCACAACCACCGCGTTGCACCCAAAACAGGGGCCTCTCCATAGTCAGGCTAGATCAACAGATCTAGGGGCTCCTGACACCCGCGGCACCAGAAGAGTCTCCGGTCAGACTTCGTAGTCGAAACTACTACCAGTTTTTGCTCCATATAGCACGGGACTGGTCGCCCAATGAGTGAAAATTTAAGGCACGATCATGGAATAGGACGAGTGTAACACAAGTGCTACACTGATGGAGCAGTCTAATCACCACGTTTACATGGACGTAGCTTTCTCACTGCGAAGAGCGAGGCCTATTCACCTCTTCCGCTCTGACGCTGGCGAACGGCAACCGATTAGATTTGAAAGTGCCCCCGACAAGATCAGAAGGATCTATGATAGTGAGGCAGAGAGTTGAGATTCCCTGTAGTCCCCACCACCTGCGGTACCAGAAAAAAGACCTCTGGTCAGATCTCGTAACCGAGTTACTCCCAGTTTCAGTCCCATGTAACCAGGGGACTGGTAACCCCTTGTGGTTAATATACACCGTCAATGTAGCAGTCAGAAGTGACCTTATTGTCATATGACCTTTTAAATTAATATCCTTTGCCCCGTCTTATACTCTTACATCGGGCTAAATTCCGAGCCGACCTATAATTGAGACCTGTAGAGCAACTGCAGTAAGGATTTTTCTTTATTTTGGTAAATTTCAATATTTTGCCCTAAGCCCTAAAGGTGGGAATACATAAAACGCTTTTTTGACTGGCTTAAGCCATCGACTGGAGTTTTAGGTTGACTTATTCCGATTTTGGCCCTAAGCTCCTCTGATCTTTTCCGAAGAAGCCAGCCGATAACTTAAGCCAGTCATGCAAAATTCCGTGGGTCATAATCATGATTACAAATTAACATGGACAGACGGAGGAAAAACATAGCTACATCAATTATCTCGGCGAGACAAGGAAATCGATATGTAACATCGTAGATCTAGGACCTGAATTTCGAAGTGATACAAACACATAGTTTTGACGAGTGTAAATATTGGTGTTGTGTATGAGATTGAAAATATCGGTATTTAACTTCGGACAGCTTGTTATACTTTCCCATATATAGAGACACTAGCTGAACCCGGTGCGCTTCGCTACCCCTTTTGATTTTATATGCATTCAAAATTTTATTTAAGAATATATGTTGGATAAAGAAAACAAATTTAAAAATTAAAAAAAAAAATATTACACTAATTTAATGCGTTAATAAACAAAATCATTACAAAAGCAGTAACATGACATGCATACACGAAGGGTTTGTCCTTTGGATTTATTTATTTCATAGCAAATACCAAGCGTGCAGGAAACTGCATTTTTTTAAGTAGAGTGGCATTTCTATTGCAGTTAGTGAATTCGAGATAGCAACATACTTCGCCGTAATAAGCGTATTTCAAATAAATTGTTGTGTTGTTTTTTAGTGTTAGCCTAAGGCGTTTTGGGTCAATGGTTCTTATTAAAAGCATATCCCAATCTGATCCGATTTAAATATAATTTTAAAAAAATTAATTTTACACCAAACTCCGCCACACCTTTCATATTTCATTGAAATTGGTGCGTCAAATATGTGAAATCGGCCGAGAATACATATATGGGAGCTATATCCAAATCTTAACTAATTTCCAATTAATTTATCACATTTATTATTATAACCAAATTCCGCCACACATTCTGAATTTCATTGGAATCGGTCATATATATCGTGTTTGGTGCATAATATGTATGAAATCGGCCGAAATATATATGTTAGCTATATCCAAACCTCAACTGATTTCAATATAATTTGGCAATTTTTGCTGGTGCCAGATTTTGTCTCTCTCGCTTTGGGTGCATCAAATATGTGAAATCGGCTGAGTATATATATGGGAGCTATAATCACATCTGAGCGTATTTGAATATAATTTGTCAAATTTATTTTTGTATTTTGTTGGAATCGGAAATACGTATCGTGCTTTGTGCATCAAATATGTGGAATCGGCGGAAAAATATATATATGGGAGCTATATTCAAATCTGAACCGATTTTAATATAATTTGACTAATTTATTTTCTAATCAAAATCCCGTTACATATTCCAAATTTCTTTGGAATCGAACATACATATCGTGTATGGTGCATAAAATACATGAAATCGGTCGAAAATATATATGAGAGCTATATCCAAATCTGAATCGATTTTAATATAATTTGACAAATGTATATTTGTTTTAATTTCCGCTACACATTCCAAATTTCATTGAAATTAGAGATTCATAGCGTGTTTGGTGCATCAAATACATGAAATCGGTGGAAAATATATATGGGAGCTATATCCAAATCTGAACCGATTTCAATTTAATTTGACAAATTCATTTTGGCTCCCAATTCCGTTACTTATTTTAAATTTCATTACAATTGGAAATACATGTCGTGTTTGGTGCATCAAATGCTTGAAATCGGCCGAAAATATATATGGGAGCTATATCCAAATCTGAACCGATTTCAATATAATTTGGCAAACTTATTTTTGTTCCAAATTCCGTTACGTATTCCAAATTTGGAGACTGTATCTTCAACCAATCAATAGATATGTGCATATAAAATCTAAATTTTTGGGAGGTACCTCCGGTTCTGATGCTATATCTCCAGTTCCAAGTGGAAATTAAAAAATGTATATAGCCTATGTTACTTTCAGGCGATGTTGCAGTATATATGGAAATTTTCAGGAAAATCTATTCAGCGGTTTTCGAGTCCATAAATTACAAACAAACAAACAAACAAACAAACATACAAACATTTTCCTCTTTTATAGATATAGATAACTCATACAAAAATATCCCCACAGTGCCTACATACGCCTCGTAACTCGTTCAAAAAACAAATCGATTCTAATACATCACAGCACTTAACCTAAATAAACTGAATATAAGAGACGATGGTGATGGTGAGGAAAAAGGTAGCAAAAACATCAAATGACAAAATGTAGGTGTCAGTACGGGAGGAAACACTTCATAGATAGGTCGTTGTAGTCATCCGTGTTGTTGTCTTTGTCGGTGTAGATGTTGTCAGTTTGCCAGTATTGATGGCAGTGTCATTTGGATTGTAAAACTTACCTAATGGCATATTGCCGCCAGAAGCTGTACGCAGCCATAAAACATCAGGCATTGGATCACCGCCAACACGACATGGGAATGTAACTGATGAACCTTCCAAGACCGTTTGATCATGGGGACCACGTATTATAAATGGTTTCACTGCGGAACGAGCGGGGGAGAGAGAGGTGAGAGATAGAAAAAATAACACAATTTTAGATAGATGGAGGATAGAAAAAAATACATAAGTTATGTCGATAGATAGGTGACTGGGTGGAAGCTTGGTTAAAAATACAAATATATTATGGTTGATTTTTTCTGTTTTGCAATCACAAGACAAATAAGGGTATTCATATTCTTTTTTTCCCGAGACTTGGATTATCAATGAAAAAATTGATGGGATTTTTCTTTTCCTCAGTTTTTTAATTGACAGATTGCTAAATGTGTTATTGATGAAGTTAATTTGTGTGGCTGTGTATGGGTGTCATAAATTCTTGCTAAAGGGTTATGAATTAATTGCTGGTTTTTCTTTTCAACTTACCATGAACTTTTAATGTGGCAATGGCGGATTCTCGTATGCCTACCGGATTCTTTGCTATACACTGATACTGACCCTCATCACTTTGTCGGGCATCCTGTATGGCCAAATTACCACCATCGACAATACGTATACGCTTGGTGGATTCTAAATCGAGTATGTTGCCACCTTTCTTCCACAGCACAACAGGTTCAGGCACGCCACGTGGTGCTGCACACTCCAAGAGGGCAGTATCGCCCTGAGCTATGCGAGTATTTTGTGGTTCGATACGAAATTCATCACGTAAAACTAAAAATAGAAATTTAAGAATATTTTTTTTAATATGAGAAAATATCTTAAAATGAGGATGAATAAAAGTATTAGCAGAGAAGGGGTAGGGGGGGCAATTTTGTTGGTATGAAAGAAAATGCTCAGACATTATTTCAGAAGAAAATATTAGTTATGTTTGTATTATACCAAAGGATTATAAATAATCTTTAGTGTCTGATGCATACGTACACCACACACAGCTATAGTGATAGTAAATGAAAAGTCCACGGAATCTACATCTACATTTGTAGAAAATGATTAATTGTTACACCCTCCACCATAGTATGTAGGGTATATTGAGTTTGTCATTCCGTTTGTAACACCTCGAAATATACATATTTTAACCCCAGCATATATATATTTTTTTACCCCAGCATAAAGTTCAATGTCGATTTAGCGATGTCCGTCCGTCTGTGGAAATCACTCTAGTTTCCGAACGAAATGAGGTAGGTTAAAGACATTTTGCTTAAATGTATATTATATCTGTAGGACTTGAAAATGGGCCATGTAGGTCCTCGTTTTGGTATAGCCCCCATATAATGGTACCTAGATATTTTCGGTATTTTGATGATTTTAGCGACATTATTCACCGGAAATGATTTAAATTTGGTATTTTAAGTTCGTAATGGATACTGCAGCCTATGATAGAAAATTGTCTGTGCAGGTCCACATCTTCGTATAGCCCTCATATAACGGTACCTACCGATATTCGGTATTTTGATGATTTTATCGCCATTATTCACCGGAATTGTTTCAAATTTGGTATTTGAAGTTCGTAATGGATACTGCAGCCTATAATAGAAAATTGTCTGTGCAGGTCCACATCTTCGTATAGCCCTCACATAACGGTACCTACCGATATTCGGTATTTTGATGATTTTATCGCCATTATTCACCGGAATTGTTTCAAATTTGGTATTTGAAGTTCGTAATGGATACTGCAGCCTATAATAGAAAATTGTCTGTGCAGGTCCACATCTTCGTATAGCCCCATATACCTCCTGATATTCTACATTTTCATGATATTAGCTATATTATTCACCGATTCTTTTCAAGTTTCGCACTTTAATATTGTAATGGCTTATGATAAAACTTGCCACGTCGTCATATAGACCCTTATATAACGGCTACATTCGCTATTTTTAAGATTATAACATAAATTTTAACGGATTTAATTTTTTGAAAATTGTCAAATTTGTTTCAAATGGAGGAGGGTATTCAAAGTTCGGCCCGGCCGAACTTTTTACTAGTTTAAACTAAAATTTTAGCAATTAAATTTAAATTTATGACCTATTACCGTTTTTTGACGTTCACTGTATGTTTACCACATTTTGCTCGCACATATAGACATGTGTTGATATTATAGAAAAAACGTATATAAATTCTTTGCATTAGTTTCTTTTTATATCATGTTCTTTAGGTTTTCTGTATTTTCCTTAGGGCTATGTCTGGAATACTTTTATTCTTATTTTTACAACTATTTCCATGAGAGACATAACCTCGCTATTATTTTATTTTTACTTTTTCTTTTTTTCTAATCAGATTTCGTTTTTGGTTGAATTCTTAAAGATTTGTGAAGTATATACATTTGAAGTGAAAGAAAGCTAGGTAAGAGTTTGTAATCTTTTTTACGTACAATACAACAAACAGGTAAGTTAAAAGGCGCTGAATTTCGTGGTGCGGAGCTTTTTATATCCATCAATATGTGAAAATTGGATTTATTTTCTAATCGCTAATTAATTTCCGTAATATGGAAGATATTCCCATACTGAATATTGTCGAATGGAATTGACATTTAAAATTTCGAAAATTAGGAGTTACAAAAGAGAGATAAATATGTTTTGGGAGGTGTAAATCTTCCAACAGGGAACACTTAATTTTAAATGAAATATGACGTTGTTAAAATTGGGTTCGAAACGGGTTCTAAATACCGAAACGAGAGGTACTGTCTTCTGGGGTTGACACGATAAAATAATACAAGAACGCTCTTTCGGCTGGGTAAACAGAATCCAAAGTTTTTTTTATTAAATAAATACTGTAACAAAGCCACGTTTATTCGTCTGACGGTCCCCTAGAAGATTATTCTGAAACAACACGTGATTAATAGTTCGATGGTCGCATAAAATATTTATAGCAGTTTTCGACTATTCATCTGATTAATAGTTCCTAAGCATATATTTTGTAGAAATCCAACATTATTGATTCTTGGAAAAATATTCTAAAAATTCTACAATTATTGACCCCCTGAAAAATTTACAATTGGTAATTTTAAGAAAAATAATTTAAATAATTCCAGAGTTACTGATCCCTGAGAGATATTCTAAAAATCGCCAATAAAGTAATGAAAATATACTTACAAATAATAGGTTATTGATCAAATTATTGACTAACTTTCGTTCTTTTTTATACCCTACACCACATAATGGAAAGGCCATTATATCCTTATGCATTTGTTTGATAGAATCACTTCTTGAGTCGATCTATGCATGTCAGTCCGTCTGTCCGTCCATCAGTCTGTCCGTCCATCAGTCTGTCCACATATTTTTATGAACAAAATGCAGATCGAATTTATTATTCGATTAAGATGAAATTTTCCAAACATTATTTGTTTGGAACAAGGATTGACCCTATTGAAATTGGTGATAATCAGATAATATTTATATATAGCTCCCATGTATCTAAAACCCATTTCGGATTAATTGTACACCAAATAGCCAATATATACCCATCGAATTCAGTTTAGAAGCATTTTTAAGAAAATCGGTTCAGATATAGCTATAGCTCCAATGTAGGTTTGTTGCTCACCATATATGTAATATAAGCCCAAATTTATTTTACCATTTAGCGAAACTTGGTGCGGTATATTTATTGTTTTCATAAATATTTTTATACCCTCCACCATAGTATGAATGGTATATTAAGTTTGTCATTCCGTTTGTAACACCTCGAAATATACTTTTAAGACTTCACAAAGTATATGTATTCTTCATCAGCATAAAATTCTATATCGATTTAACAATGTCCGTCCGTCTGTCCGTCTGTGGAAATCAACCTAGCTTCCGAACAAAATGAAGTAAATTCATAAAAATTTACTCAAATGTGTATCATGTCTGCAGGACTTTTGGTACATCTTCGTATAGCCCCCATATAACGGTACCGCCCGATATGCGGTATTTTGATGGTTTTAGCGACATTATTTACCGGAAAGAAAACTGTCTGTGCAGGTCCAGGTCTCCCTATAGCCCCCATAATACTTTACATCCCGATATTCGGTATTTTCATGATTTTAGCGACTTTATTCACCGGAATTGCTTAAAATTTGGTATTTAAAGTTCGCAATGAATACTACAGCATATGACTGAAAATTGTCTGCGCAGGTCCACGTCTTCGTATAGCCCCCATATAACGGTACCCCCTGATATTCGGTATTTTGATGACTTTAGCGACATTATTTACCGGAATTGATTTAAATTTCGCATTTGAAGTTCGTAATAGATATTACAGCCTGTGACAGAAAATTGTCCGTACAGGACAATTTTTTCGTATAGCCCCCTTATAACGGTAGCCCTGATATTCGGTATTTTGATGACTTTACCAGAATTATTTCAAATTTTGTATTTGAAGTTCGTAATGGATACTGCAGCCTACGCCAGAAAATTGTTTGTTCACGCTTATAGATCCTAATATACGGCTACACTGGCTTCTATTAAGTTCCTTTTGTAGCACCTCGATGTATACATTTTATAGACCATAAGGTATGATCACCATAAAATTCTATGTTGATTTAGCAACGTCCGTCCGTCTGTCTTCCTGTCCGTTTGTGAAAGTAGGTTGATGAAATTTTGTTGAGTTCACAGTGAGTTCTACTTCCTATGATTGAAAATTGCCTGTGCAGATCCACATGAGTTTGCAAAAATAATTATCTCAAAGCTGGTATTTAGTGTTCGTAATATGCCGCGACTGACAGATAATGTTGTCCAGGATTTTTAGTCCCATATAAATCCAAGACCGAATATTGAGAATTTTGAAAATTTTAGCTGCATTTTTCAACGAATTTTTTACATTTTGCAAGTTTCTTCCAAATGGTGGAGTGTATTAAAGCTTCGGCTGGGCCGAACTTAGGTCCTGTTTTACTTGTTTAATTCCTGAAGTTGATTTTCAGATAACAAACAATTAATATGTTTTTGGTGGACACTGATTCAATAATAAGTTGGCCCTTATATTTAATATTAAAAAGCCGTTAAATATATTCATTATTCCTTGCATTTATTTGCTTTACACTCTATGATTTTTTAAATTCTCAAAATCGAATTTTCATAATTTCACTTTAAATTTCAATATGGTCATGAAATGCTCCAAAGGAAGCAATTTCAACCAAAAAATATCATTCTGTTGAGCACCAATGTTATTTCATTCATTGACTGTCATTCTTTAACGATATCAACAGACTTTTTCTTGGAATGACTGTCGTCTGCAGGAGTGGTATTTAATACCAGCAACAAAAACCCAGTAACATTACTACTTCAACTCAAAATCAGCATTGTCACAACCGAATACACACATACATTCGCTCGCTTAAACCGACAACATTATAATGAGATTCTTTCAAATGTCCAGCAGTAGGAAGTGTTCGGTTTTGTAGACCATGGAAGTGGTCGTACATACGTACGTGTGTCTGTAACTCTGTACGTCTGTGCCGATGACTAGCATGAAAAATCAAAAATAATATCCTTGAGCGTATGTGTACGACACAGACTTGTCTATGCACTTGAGGCATGTGTTAGTGGGTGGTCAATGCCAAGGATATCATATATAAACGGGTGTGTGTGTGTGGGTGCGTCGGCACTCCATGCTTGTGTATGGAGCTGTACAACGACAAAAGTTTCGTTAAGTTTTCTTTTCGCACTTTTTTTTTTGTTGTGGCTACCTCCGCCTGTTTCTCGTCTCGTTTCATTTGTAAGTGATTTTTAGTATTTGTT